CCCTTCCCCTAATTCCCCAGCACTGTTCCCATCCCCCCAATTACCCAATAAAAAAATCTTTAAAAAAAAAAAAAAAAGATAAGAGGATTCTTTAAACTGAAGCAAGGGGCTGAAGTCTGGCTTATCATACGCAGCAGGAGACAGCTCAGTGTTTATATCTAACGTCTGTTATATGCTGGACTTATATGCCACCAGGCGTGTTCACATGCCAAACAAACCTCCTCTCCTTCTATGGCCTCTCCCCACACAGAACTTCCCACCATGCCCCTCCCCAGCTCTGCACCTGGGGTGTCCTCTCCCTTCCTAGCTTCCTTTTTGCTCAACAAACACTTTCTCAATGAAGTCTTCTCAAGTCCTCCAGACAGCAGATAGCTCCCACTCCAAGTAGGGACTCAGAGCCTAGTTCTCGCCTTTGTCTGCTGACAAGTTTGTCTCCTCCAACTGGATTTAAGCCCCTAGAAAGCAGGGCCCCGGCTACACCCTGTAGTAACCAAGTAAGTAACAAACGTTCATCAAGGGAACCAGCTGCTTATAAAGGTGACCACAGTTCACCTCAAATGCCCCATCTCTTGGCTTCCCAACTCCCCGACCAGGAGCGACCTGCCCTGGTCGCCGTACCTCGGAGGAGAACATGGTGGCACAGGTCCCAATGCACCAGCAGACCACAGGCTTGGTGAGGCGGCCCTCCTTGATGCCCCGGCAGATCTTATACTCCTCAGTACCCCCTATCTGCAAAGGAACAGGGAACAAGAAAAAGCCGGTGTGTTAGGGGCACCCACCCCAAGGTGCTCCAAGAGCAGCACTGCGGCAGGAAAATCTGCCCACCCCCCCAAAAAAAATCAGGCACTCAAGTGTCCTGAGTTACAACTTGGCTAAAAAATGAGGGGACAACGACTTGGCCCAAATAACAGCCTGGAAGACAGAGTGGATGCCAAGAAGAACTGTAAAAGGACAGCAAATATCCTAGGGGAGCCCGAGACTCCCCTTTCTTGATGTAAGGGTGTAAGATGATTTAGGACCAGACCCAATCAGAGGCAAAACCAAGGATGGGATGAGGTTATAGGACTCCCCCAAATTTAAAAAAACACACTTTTTATTTTTTATAGCTACCCACTGTCCACCAGGTAGAGCATGGCCAGCCAGTACAAAGCTTTACTGGCACTAAAATGTCTTGTGTCACCAAGAAGCAAGAACTCCGTTTTCAGGAACAAACACAGCAGTGTTAAAAGTGACACCCTCTAGGTCCCAGAATCTAAGGGGTGGGATTACACCAGGGACTGTCACCATAAATTATATATAACCAAAACGCATGCATTTTTTAAAAACTGAGATCATCCGTAACTTTTACAATCATAAAAATTTTAAGGTTTTTTTCTTTAAATAACTCACCTCTCCAAGAACCACAATCATTTTGACTCCTGGAGTATCCTGGTAACGTAACACATGATCCATAAACGTTGAGCCGGGATACCTGGTGAGAACAGGTAGGGCACGTGGGATCAGGAGCAGGTTCGGGGAGGCGTGTGTTCAGGTGTGGGAAGCATGCTTAGACTAAGAACGGGTTTTTCGTAGGTGTGGATGCCCAGGGATGCTTAGGAATAATGGGGGGTGGGAGGAGGCAGTTAGGTGGAACCCAAGGGAAGAGAAGGGAAGGAAGGGGTAATAAGGTGTTAATAAGAGGTTTGCTAGGTGCTAAGAGATGCGTGGAGAGCGCACGTATGGTGGTTTTAAAATATGTCCACAAATTCTTGACTATGGGTTGGATTTAATGATTAGCTTCTCATAAACAAAATGTGGTTAAAGTGCTTCTATGATATTGACTCTCCTGAGGCTGGTTTATAATAAAAAGAATAGCTTCTTTCTGGCACTCTCTCTTGAATTGCTCCCTTTGGGCAAAGCTGGGCACCAAGTCCTCAGGACACTAAGCAGCCTGTGGAGGGGCCACAGAGGGAAGAGCCCGTCTCGCCTCAGGCCCACCTTCAGCTGACTGCAGCCCTGCTCACATCTGAATGCAACCCTGAGGACAAAAGTTTCTTGTTGCTTGAAGCCACTATGATTTGGGGTAATTTTTCTTTTATATAGCAATGTATAATTAATACATAATGTGCCAAGCTATTCCCCAGGATGGCAAGCTACTGCTAGAAGGTCTATATATATTTTTGTTGTTGTTGTTTAATTTTCTACTGTCACATGAGTTTGTTTGCAAAAGGATTACTTAAGGCCAAGCAGGCTTCTCTGCAGATCTCCATGTGCTTTTGAGATGCTCAAGAGAATTATGAATCGTGAGAGCACAGAATGACAAGCAGCACTGCAGACTCATCCGACCCAGAGCCTTCGGTCAGGGAGCACCCGGGGACCAGGGTTCCCCAGGCCATGCTCCTAAAGGCCTGGGCACAATCTTTCACCCAGGTGTTTCATCTGAAATGACCTGGGAGATCCAAGGGAACTGACAAGGTGTCTCGCTCCCAGCAGCTTCTGGCTCTGAGCCAAACAGTAGAAGTAGTAATGGTAATAGTAAATAATAATGATAACCAGCAATGGCTAATATTTATAAGGTATTAAGTACTACTGTTTATTGTTCCCAACAAAAATAATGAGGACACTATTTGTGAAATAATAAATACTACATTGGTCTCTGCTCCCAGTTCCTGGCACACAGCTCCTACAACCCCTGTGATCTCCTAAATAACAGGGGTGCTAGGAGCATCTTTTGTTCTAGTACTTGGTTTTAACCCCGGTCCCTGACCCTGGGCTCCTGACACCTTTTAGTTTCCTGAGTAATGGAGGTGAGAAGAGCATCTTACAGAGAGCTCCTTACAGAGGGCTCCCAAATCCTGGGTGATAAGGAGTAGCTTCTGCTCTAATGAGGCAAGTCTTGGTAGGCTCCTGGATGGGGGCTGGTCACCAGTAAGGCAAGGCCATGATTAGAAGCTTGGCTGAAAGTTCCAGAGCAGGGAGAGGGACTGGAGACTGAATTAATAATCCATCATGCCTACGTGATGGAGACGCCACAAAAATTCCTCAAGTATGGGTACTGGGGAGCTTCTGGGTTAGCGAGCACACCAAGGTTAGAGCACCCGGAGAAGGCGTGGAAACTGCGTCCTGCCCCCCCATACCCTGCCCTATATATCTCCTTCATCTGGTGGTTCCTGAGTTGTATCCTTTTATAATAAACTGGCAAGCTAAGAAGTAAACTTTCCCTGAGTTCTGTGAGCCATTCTAACAAATTATTGATCCCAAAGAGGGGGTTGTGGGAACGCCTGATTTATTGTCAGTCAGTCAGAAGTACCAGAGGCCTGGACTTCAGATTGGCATCTCAAGTGGAGGCAGTCTTGTGGGACTGCGCCCTGAACCTGTGAGAACTGATGCAGAATGGAACTGAACTGTAGGGACCCCCAGCAGGCACCTGCAGAAAACTGGAGAGCTGCTTGGTGTGGGAGAAAAACCTCTGCATTTGGTGAGAAGAAATGTGTGTGTGGCAGCAGTAGAGAGTAAGGGACTAGAATTTTTCCTTTCGCTATTATTAGCTACAGTGAACACTGACTGAGCACTTCCTAAGTGCCAGGCCCTGTGTTTAGCCACTTGATATATATGAGCCCCATTTAATCCTTCCACCAACCCCATGAGGTGGGCACTATTATTTTACCCATTGACATGTAAGGATGATACAGGTCTAGGGAGGGTAAGGAACCTGCCCAGGACTCCCGCCTGGTAAACAGGGAAACTGGGTTTTGGACCCCTTCGGTCAGATTTCAGAATCCATCCTGCTCTTCACTGCTCTCTGCTGCCTCCCTATGGCCACACCTCAGACAACACACAGAACTGCTCCACAGGCCCTAACGCCTTTTAAAAGCCTTTCCCTGTATTTTCTGACTTTATGCGCATGTCGGTCCTGAGACTAGAGTTGCCCCATTTTATGAACTTAAGAAACATTCCTACCTGAAACTAATATAATATTGAATGTCAACTGTAATTGAAAAAAATAAAGACATTAAAACAAAACAAAACAAAAACAACAAAAAACATTCCTATATGCCAGGAACTTGGCAGTGGGGAGCAGTATGGGAGGTCCCCTTGGCCCCCAGCTGATCACCTGTCCCCGCCAATGGCGACACCCTCATAGACGCCATCCGTGGTCCGAGAGATGATATTGTTGAGCTCATTGGACATGCCCCCAGAACGCGAGACATAGGCCACGCTGCCAGGGCGGTACAGCTTGGAGGCCAGGATGTTGTCCAGCATCCCACCTGTATTCCCGATCTTAAAGCACCCGGGCTTGATGCCTCCAACCTGCAGTCAAAAGAGGAGGCATGAGCTCTTGACTGACCACAGAGCTCAAAGGAACCACCAAGCCCAATATTACCGACCCAGCCCACTCCGGCCGGGCTGGGGAGGAAATGGCCAAGAAAGCTAACACTTGCACATTAGGTTACCTGCTTAAGAAGAATCTCTTCTCTCCCTCCAGAGACATTACACAGAAGAGAGAGCCTTATTTGGAAAACACGACTTAATACTGGGACGTATACTCAGGGTAAGTCACCTCCTTTGATCTACAAGGGTGACAATGCCCAGTGAAGGTGTATAATAACACAGGTGTGCACCTCTGCTCTAAACCAACTCCTGCCTCTGAGATGAAAGGTCCCTTTGTCTTAGCTTCAGACAAGTTTTAATGCAACAACAAAAAAAATATTCACAGAGCAATTTCTTTCTCCTTATATGAAGACCTGTGAGTAAAAATAAAGCCTCCAGGCAGAGTTTTCGCTGGCTTATAGCTAAAGGAATAATGAGACTATGCTATGGTTGCATGAGGGTGGACAAAAACATTTTAAAAAATAAGAGTCTTCTCCTTAGCCCCTTGAAGCTATGAGTATAAAGGTGATATGGACTGGGGAGAGAGCCCTTCAAAAAATTAATTGGAAATGGACAGACTGACTTTGAACGAGTATTCCCTAAATATTTTCAACCTAGGAGGGAGACAGAGGAGTTAACAGTTGAGCTTCCCAAGGGCCAAGAACTTCATAAGATAGCCTTCAACTTAAAAGGCCTCTGGAAGGGATGCTCACAGTGGCAGGTCCAATGATGGTCACGCCCTTTTGGTCCGCCTTCTTGATCAGCTTCCTTGTGAGGGCCTCAGGGATTCCTTCAGCGATGATGGCAATAGTCCGGATCTAGAGGATGAGAACAGTCCCTTTCCATTAAGGTTTCACCTCAGATGAGACCACGAGGCAGCACCGATTCAAGAACCCACCTCAAAGAACCCACAGTCAAAGCTGCTATATTCTCTCCGATCCAAAAACACGCAAGACTCAGACCCACCTGTCCTGTGCCTGCTCATAAAGCAGCTACCTATGGCTTTCTCTGCTGTGCCCTCTGAAGACAAGGCCAGTACATGACAGAAACGAGTTGTTTCCACACTCAGACAAGAGAATGGGCTGGGGGAGAAAGCCAGAGGGAGTGAGGGTGGGCAGAAAAGATCGAGAACCATCTCTGACTCTAGTCCAAGGGCCGCCAAACTCTTTTTAAAGAGCCAGATAGTATTTTAGACTTCATTGATCATCTGGTCTCTGTGGTACTACTCTAAACTACTGAACTTTACCTTTGTAGCATGAAAACAGCTATGGACAATATATAAACAAATGAGCATGGCTGTGTTCCAATAAAACTTTATTTAAAAAACAAGTGGAAGACTTGGTTTGGCCCTTGGGCTGTAGTTTGCCAACCTCTGATCTAGACTGAAAAACCCAGCTCATTTTTAGCAGGTGTGCTTTTGTTTTTGCTTCATCTAGGTATCCAAACAAGTTTATGTTCTCCAGTTATATAATGAACCAAGTCAGTCTAGGATCAGACAATAATTCTAAACAGGTGAATCAATCTTATTCTATAAGGGGTCTTACAAATCAATAACAAAGAAAACAAACACTTCAATGGGAGAAAAAAAAAAGCTCCCGGGAGGCCAGCTTTTAGAATAAAAATCACCAATAAATGTTTTTAAAAGCTCATCCTAATAACCAAAGATATGCAAATTAAATAGAATGCCTAGCAATTTGTCAAATGCATATCTTCAAAATCTAGTCAATCAGTGTTGGTACAGAGAAACTCCCAACGGGAATTTACATCACTACAACTTTCTGTAGGGCACCTGCGCAGGATGGACCAAAAGCTTTAAAATCTGCTCATCTTGATGCAGCAGTTTGACTTCTAGACATTTATTCTGGGGAAATAACTAAGGATATATACAAGTGTTACTCCAAGATACTCATCACAAGACTTGAAAAAGCAAAACTGATGCTACCAATAAATATTTACTGATGTGGCAAGAGTAATTGAGCAAAATGGATTATAAAATAGTTCTGTA